TTCCTCTAAGGTGCCCACAGAGCCTCACAGAGCGCATGCGTTCTCACCCATCCAGCGCCACGCTTTTTCTTCATTTCTCATGGCAAATCCCACGCCACTTGGTAGACCTTTGGTCAAATATGATGAACCAAAACCTCTGGCCAGAACACAACAGAAGTCGGAGGGAGAGAGGCCCCAGCAGTGTAAACAGCCCAATAATGGACCGGGAGGCTGGATGGCCTACAGAGAAGGGTGCCCAGAGCTGTCCGCCAAGCCCACTGCCGTCATCGGGGAGCAGAGTTGAGCCACACTGAGGCCCTGAGAACAACGAGCAGCATCTCCGGAAACCGGGGTGGCTGCAGTGGCCGCTGAGAGGAGCGGCTCACCCACTGCTATTTTGGAAGGAGCCCGGTGTGGTTACTCAGTGCGCTGGAATTAAGCTCGTCTGTAACTTGATAAGTGGGAGCAGCCTCACCTTTTATGGAGTAATTAAGTCTGAGAGAGCAAAGCAAGGTGTTTCTGGGCCCCAAGATCCCCTGAGGTGGGTCCCCATTCACACTCTCTCTCCTCTAACACATGTCCATCGGTGCTGAGACAGGACGGTCCTCAGCCACGGTCCTGGGAACGCTCCCTAGCCCTGCTGTCTCCAACCCTCAGGGCTTCCCCCAGGCCCAGGCCACTGGCAGAGCCCACAGACACAGTGACCACAGCTCCAGGGAGACGCAAGGCCCAGCCTCCCTTCCACACGGCTCTCTGTAAAACTGTGGGCTAGGACAAAGTTGAGTTCAGCCCTCCCCTCATCAATCCCTCACAGGCTACATGGCCAGCCTCTGAGTGGGCTCCAGCCCAGCTCAGGGGCCCTGATGGGGAGACTGAGGCAGCCTAGAAGTAAAGGAAGGGGCCTCAGGGATGGAAGCCAGGCTCTCCCACTTCCTGGCCCTGTGGTCTCAGGCGAATCGCTTCACCTCCCCGAGGCTCAGTTTCTTTATCCGTAAAATGGCAGTAGTGGTCCCGCCTAACTCATAAGCTGTTTGTGAGGAGCAGATGAAAGAGGAGTCATGAGTGCACTTAGTAGTGAGGGGGCCCATGTGTGAGAAGTTGTCAGCATTTCACTGAAGGTATTAAAACCTGTCTCCCAGTTCTTGCCGCTGGAGGGGACGCAGGTGGTCATTCCGCCTGGTGTGTGTCATTAAGAATGAAAGATGGGATAACCACAGCTGAAACCTCCTGTGCAGACAGGAGTATGGAAACCTTGTCAAGTGAGGGACCTGGGCTCTTGCACCTGATCTGGCCATTTTCAAATACCTGATGTTCTGTGCAGTTCTGGGTCACAGCCAAGTGCCAAAGGAGTTAGGTTCCAGGTGGTAGATTTCAGCTCAGTCTTTGGATCAATTCTCCCTAACCAAGGACATGCTGTCTCAGGAAGTAATGAGCTCCTTGTCGCTAGAGGGCCTCAAGGCTTGGCCAGCTCCCGGGAGGCTGGGAGTCAGGCTTGGTGGTGGTTGGATCCCCTTTCCCTCTCTGAGGTTCTGGGAGTCATAGCAGCCTCTCCCGGTCTTAGTCCAAGCTCTGGTCCCTGGTCCCTAGCCCGGCAAGGGCTCACCCAGTACGTCTGAAGGGCCACTCACAGACCAGCTGCCTTAGCGCACGCACATACCAGGAGGGCCTTATGATGCTCTGGGCTTGCCTGTTTGGTCTCCAGCAGAGCACCAGGCCCCACAGCTCTCCTTGTTCCACAGCCTTATCTGAGGACCCTCCAGCCTTGTGCTCCTATAGCCCTCCAGCACTTTGGGAGCAGTTATAGACTCTGTCTCTGCCCAAGGCTGGGTCTCAGTGTTCCTAGAGCCTGCCTTCAGAAAGGCCCCTGATGGAGGGCAGTGTTGGCCCCGTGAAGGCACATTTCCTCCTGCTGGGACACGAACGGGCTCCCCCGGCCTCCCCTCTCCCACAGGGGGCCGGGAAGGAGGGGATGGATGGCTCATGTGGCAGCACACTCTCTGCTTGTTACTGTGTATATGCTTACAGATTTTTCTTACTGTTACATAATTGAGGTATTTTTTCCCCCTCCTTATTTTAGATCCTGGTGCCATCTGCCCTGCTTTTTATGCATCGCTAGCTCCGGGCTGGAGGTTAGAGCTGGCTTGGCCACCCAGTTCTATCCCTCCCTTGGCAAGAGACTTGGGGTAATCGGTTTCCTTATGTGTAAAAGGAGATAGTAACCTCCCCCGCCCGGCCTCCCTCCCAGGGCTGCTGCAGGACGCCGGGGAAAGGCAGCGAACTGGCTGTGTAAGGCAGCCAGCACCACACAGATGTGCCTCTAGTCATCTGGCAGCCTGAGCCTGGTGCCACCCAAGTGGAGGGAGCCTCTGCCTGCTCATGTCTGCACCTGCAGCAGATGAGCTGCGCAGAGCTTTGCAGAGCCAGGACCTGTGTGAGATACAGGAAGCGAAGAGGCCTCACAAGTGGGGAGTCTGGCAGACCCCCTGCCACGGGTAGCCGACACACAGTCCCAGGAGCCTGGGGCAGGCAGGGCCAGGCTGGCCTCGCACCTGCTCGCAAGCCTCTTGGCCCCAGGTGGCATGGTAAGCGCCCCCCGTCAGAAGCATCTTTCAGAGAGCTCTCACCCAGCCTCCAGCCACCAAGGAGAGTACCCTAGAGATCATGCTCCTACCCAAGGTGGCACCTGTGGACACCATCTGTACCCCGCAGAACGGGAGCCCCCTCTCTCCCCTCATCCCCCCATCCCCACCCCAAGAAGGGGCAGCTCTCTGCTGACAGGCAAGCAGGGAGGGCCTGGGTGCCAGGTTAGTTCCCAGGGCTGTTGGGGTGAGGTGATGGTGAACAGCACCGCTCAGGAGACTTTTGTCACAGATCTACTGTGACACTGGGTGAGTCACTTTCCCTCTTTGGGTCTGAGTTATGTCATCTGTAAAATGGGAACAACCACCTCTGTTCTGCCTACTTCCACGTCCCTTGGAAGGATCAGAACTAGACCTGCACCCATGTAGGCTCCAGGCCCACAGAGTGAATTTGGTCATTTAACTGGCATCGAGATTATCTGGAAAGAAGGTGCTCTGGGTTTTGCAGTCACTGGGGTGAAAATAAAACTCAGGGCGGCCTGTGGGCCAGTCTAGCAGTCCTGTCCTACTCCCAGAGACCCCCGCAGAGGAAGATGTGGCTTGTCCAGTGCTCAGGAGCTTGCCCCCCCTTCCCTCTAGTTCCCGGGTGTCCACACACACGTGTAACTCCAAGTGTTGCATCTGTCCCTCTCTCAAAAAATCGAGCATGGAAACAAAATCTCCAAAGCTGTGGAAACGCGACTCTGAAAGGTCAGCTCTGTGATTCAAAAGGATGTGGCTGTAATGTGAACACGATTGCCTTCGGATGTCCGGCTCTGGGCTCTGGAGGACGTTAGCCCTGCCGGCCCATCCCGTCATCCCCACAGGCCATCCCGGCCTCACCTTGCAGACAGGTGGCTGGGTAGGGCGCCCCTGATTGAAGACAGAGGGGACCAAAGCCCATAATGCAGGCTGAATTTCCTCCTTGTGAGGCCCCCTATTCCTTGGCAAGGCCTGAGCCCAGTGGCCAGGCCTGGCTGCCCAGCTCTTCTGCCTTCTCCTGGAGCCAGGCTCCACGTTTATGCCAGGCAGCTATTTGCAGAGCAGGGATGCTGTTTCTGAAAGGGTCTTGCTCTTTGGGCCCGGACTGGAAGGTGGGGATCGGGAACCCTCTGAGACCTCAGGCTTGGGTGGAGGCAACCAAGTCCGGAGCAGAGGCCGCTCGGGCCGCAGCAGAGACAGAGCGCCCTCTAGCGGCACGCCTGCCCCTTCCCGGGACAGACGGAAGTGCCAGTTTGGTTTGCGGGGCTGGCGCGCAGGACCGCCTGCAGCCACCTGGGGGCGAGAGTGATGCCTGGTTTTGGTCCAAACAGCCAAGCTCTGGACAATTGCAGGAAGAGCAGCTTTCAAACCCAAACCCAAGAAGGGATAACACAGACTCTACCTACCAGTGCCCTGGGTTCTTAATTAAAAATAAGGCCACAGCAGGAAAGCAAGCATACAGTAAAGGCCCCCCTGAGCGCGTGCACGTGTGTGTGTGTGTGTGTGTGTGTGTGTACCACATGAGACAGGCAGGGAACCTGGACCTACCCCAGGTGCAGGCTGTACCATGGCTCCTGCCAAGGATGCAGCGTCAACATGGTCCCACCTCAAGCAAAACTCAGCAGACTCATAACAAGCAAATCATCCTCTTAGCCAACAAGCACCTCTACATAAGTCCTAAGAGAGGTTGCAGAAATCACAAATGGAAATTTCCAGAATGTCCCCACCCCTTGGTATTGCTGGCTCTGGGCCACACACACAGGCACCATGGACATGCAGAGGGGTGCACAGAGGGCATGTGGTGTGTCTGGCTCAGGTGAGGGTACAGAGCTCATCACAGGATCCTCAGAGAACTGGATCCAGAGCAGCCCTGGAACGCACACCATGAAGCATCTCTACAGCGGTGGCAGAAACACATAACCTGGACTATGTGTCAACAACAAACGGTTACTCGTGTATCCTCTTTGGGCCACACGTTCTTCATGTACAAAAGAAAAAAAATATCTGTTCTTTTCACGCATGAGGCTGGTTTAAGGATCAAATGAGATAAATGTTTGAACAGTTGTTTGGCTTTAAAACATAAAGGATTCATACTGTATTTAATAATAAATCTGTGTTTAATATAAACGTGTCTTCCCAAACTCTTTGTATGAAGTCAACCTGAGAAAGATGGATGTACCATGTTTGCCCTGAGGTGTGGGGAGCCTGCCCACCACTCCTTACGCTGACTGAGAAGGCCCAAACCACTCGCTGTGCACACAAGTAGGGCTGGGCTCTCCCCTCTGGTGAATGCTACAACTGGTGGTAGGTTCTCCTGGGACTGTGGGTAATGCACAAGTAGGTACTCAGGAGGTAACTACCCAAGACCTTCCCTCCCTCCGCCTCTCCCTTCCCTCCCACCAGAGGCCAGTGGGAAAGTCTTCAGTGTATGTAGATCCTGTCGGACACCGCTGCGGGCAAGTGGGTCATGACCTGCATTCGAAGCCACCAGTAGTAGTCCATGGGGTGGTAGCGAGTGTAGGGGCTGGCAGAGGTCAGAGCGTGGGTGACAGCACTGATGACAGGGGATGTGTCTGTGGAGCCACTGTTACAGTAGGTCTCCATCTTGGCGATCTTCTCGTCAAAGTACTTCCTGCCGTAGTCCTGGCGCACCACCTCAGGCAGCTCATCCCACATCTTATTGGCAATGGCCTGGATGCGCTCAGGGCTGTAGAGGCTGGTCGCGGCGATGAAGTTGCCAGGTTCCACCACACTGACCTTGACGCCCAGCGGGTGCATCTCGTAGCGCAGGCAGTCAGAGAAGGCCTCCACCCCGAACTTGGTGATGCAGTAGGGGGAACGGGCCGGGTTGGCCATGCGGCCCAGCATGCTGCTGATGTTGACGACACGGCCTACAAAGGAAGACAGCAAACCCCTGCTCAGGAGGCACTGACTGGTCAGGCAGAGGGCCTGGGGCCTGGCAGGCTTCCAGAGGCCTGGCTGGAACCTGGCCTCCTGGCCTTGACACCTGTTTCGATGCCTGAACTACCCAGGGTCAGGGGGCCTTCTAATTCATAATTGAGGCCAGCTCAGGCCCACATGGCCAGATTTTCCCTGACTGTGCCAGGCAGGACAGGGGAAGAGAAATGAGCAGGCCTGCATACCAGGAGGGCACAGTGTAACGGGCAAATGGCTAGCACCCACTAGGGCTCTGGCTGCAAGCAGGCCGAGCCAGGGTTCTGAACCTGATTTCAGGGCTAGGACATGCGGACAGAGTCTTCGGCACTGGAAGAGAGTGGTGACCTCAGGAGGCTTTCCACAGGCCCAGCCTCAGGTACTGGGATGGAGGTGGAGCCCTTCCAAGTAAGCCCAAGCGGACCTGGGACCTGCTTGCCCCGGTAGTGCCCTCAGGAAGTGAATGCATGGCCCCATCCTGGGCACCGCAGGGCGACACCTTTCAGAAACCTCTAAGTTGGAAGTCACTGAAGGGTTCGGGTTTTCTTCTAAAATCCTACAGCTGCTCTCTGGGTTCATTCTAACATTGCTGAAACTTTGGGATAGGTCGTGTGGATCATCCCCTTTTGCCATCATTGTTTGCTATCTAGGGAGAACATCTAAATCAGTGACTTCCTTGGCTACCTAACATGGTTTGAGAGTTTTGTCTGTTTTCTAAATTTCTAATCTTGATTATTATCATTTCTGTATTTTACACTTTACCACAACTGTCTTATTTTTTAACTGTGGCATAGTAACCCATAGAATGGATATACCAAAACTGACTTAACCATGCCTCTCTCGATGGTTGATGTATATACACACAGCTCTGTGCGCGAGGGTGGTTATTTCTCTAGATTAGGTCCCCAGGGTGGGATGACTGCTGTAATCTTTTAGCCTTTGAGACGGCTGACCTCTCAGCTGCCCTCCTTCCTGAAAACCACACATCCCTTTCCATCCGGCCGGCCAAGGCACCTCCACTCGCCACCATCCACAAGACCTGCTCAGCCTCCAGGAGTCCTGTGCTCAGCCTCACTGAGGTATGGAGGTTGGCTCTGCTGAGACCTCTTTCCATTCTAAGCAAAGATGAAAAGGTGGGACAGGAGGAAATCCCTTTCCAACTCACCTTTGGCCCTTCGGATGAGGGGGAGAAAGGATTTTGTCATCCGCACCGTGCCCCAAAGGTTCACTTCCGCCACTTCCTTGTAGGTCTCCATGCTGGTGAACTCTACTTCTCCGAAAGTTGAGATGCCCGCATTGTTAACGAGGCCCCACAGGCCTGGACAGGATGGGACAGAACCACGGTCACCACACACGCTTGGCCTCAGACACCATCAGCCTGCAGCCCATGCCCCTCTCCGCTTTGTCCCCGAAACTTGCTACTTCTTGTCCAAGGCTCTCGGGACACTTTCTAGAATCACCAAGAATAACAGGAGAGAGAGAGAGGCCTACGGCGCTGGCTGTGACCCTCCCTTAAGTCTAAAACGTCCAATTACTATCTTGCTTCTCCCTGCATGGACTCTCCGGACCCACCATGACCCAGCCCTGTGTCCACAGCCCGGAGTCCCACCTCGGCTCACTCAGTCCCACTGGCTCCGTGCAGTCACCTCCCTTCCCCCTGCACTGTGTGTTCATTTCTGCCTCCGCACCTTCGCTTGCCTTTGACCTCCAGCCAGAAGCCAGGAGAACCTCAGGAGTCTTCCAGGCCAAGTCTTCTCTGGAGGACCACGGAGGGGGACCCAGTGTCCAAGGTCTCAGAGCAGTTAGAGGCTCAGCTAAGACTTGACCTCAAGTCGAGCCCCAGTCCTGATCCATCCTGAGACCCTCCTCACCATGACTCCAGGCTCGGATCTTCCCCTCTCTGAAGCATGCACTGTTTGCTGGTTATCAGTGGTGAGCCCCACGGCCCATGTGTATACACCTGGTCTCTGCAGGTCGAGAACACCCCTCAGCCTTGTGTGGTCCCGGGTGGGGTACAGAGTTGGAGCAAGCATACACTCTCTGAGTACACATGGGTGGAGTGTTTCCTGTAAGACCAGCTAGGGGACAGCTGGCTTCTGTAGACTCAGGGAACACTGGTGCTAGAAGGATCCTCGGATCCTCACAGCTATTTTTACAGCCAGGGAAGCAGAGGCCCTGAGGAGGAGGAGGATGGCTTCAGCACGCCCAGCAGGTCAGAGGCAGAGCTGCACGAGGGGAAGAGGCCCCGAGGAGGCCACCTTGCTTTGCAGGGCCTCTGAGTTCAGTCTGTGGGGTGTAAGGGCTGCATGGGCTGCAGCCTCAGGGCAGAGCTGTCCTCCTGCCTGTGGGAACCCTGGCCCCGCTTCGCTTTCCAAGTTAATCATGGAAATGAGTTTGTGTAAATGACAGAGTAATTGGTCTCTAGCTGCTTTCCTTCCGTGTTACCCAAATTAAAGCTTCAACTGACCTCTGGTGCCTTCTCCTTCAATTACGGAGAGTTGAGGACATTTACTAGGGAAGGAGATTGCTGGCTAACAAAGTGCTCGTGAGGCTCTCACTCTCCCCACAGCGGCTGAGCTGAAGCCGCAGGCCCTCGGGGCTCACCGGTGACCTCGCGGTGACATGGCCACTGCAGCCCCCGCCCCGCAGACCTCCCCGGGGCTCTTCACCCCTCTCTTCCCGGGAGGAGCAGGAGGCCTCCCACCACCTGCCGAGGCTGACGCTTCACCCTCCACCTTCCAAACCACAAGCCATCACTCCTTGTTCCTTTTTTATGCAACTTCAACCCTTTTCTTACCCCTGGCTCCCTCCCTCCAACATTGTACACATCAGATGCTCAATAAATGTTTGCCAGATGAATGAGTGTCTACAAATACCATGTCTCAAGATCCTAAAGAACCTCCTCTTTACCATGTTACAGCCTCACACCACCGTCTGTTCTCCTTCCCTCCACCACCAGGCTTCTGAGAACACAAGCCACACCCTCCAGACCCCATTTCCCTGCCATTCTGGGTTCCAGCCCTGTTGCTGTCCCACCGTGTCTGGGGTGCGACATCCTAAGGATGCCCCATCATCCCTCCCTCCCATCTTCACTCCTCCCCAGTATGAGCACTACTCATTATTCTTGACACGCATTCCTTCCTTGGCATTAATGATACCCAAGCATCTCTTGCATCCCCCACCCCGCCCCGACCACCCTTCTTCTGCCCGCCCCCTAAATACAGGCATTCGTCAATGTCCTGTCCTAGACCACCTTCTCCCAAATTACACTCAGTGCCTAGGCAGCCTCGTCGTCTTTACGTTCATGGAAATTTCCAGCTGCTTTGTGTTTGATTCACACAAGACCGTATCACACCTTAAAATACACAGCTGTGGTTTTTTTTTCCAGCTAAAAACTAATTACATCTGACACTGATGTCCAAAAGAGTGTAACTGAACTTGACCTGTGAAAGCACATTGTTCCTGGATTATAGCTCTGCTGACTTGATAAGGAGTAAGAGTTTATGGACCTAGGAGCTCTCTGGAGTCCTCAGCCAACATTCCAAATAAACTCACAGTGAACATTCCTGCTGGTCTGAGGGACGGCTGTTTTCCTGCAACAGCCCCGGCGCAGCCAGACGTCAAGGGTTCCCGTGTAAGCCTCGGACTCGTGGCTCTCTCCCAACTGCAGTCTCCTCCTGACGGTCACTTTCACCTCAGTGCCCCAAGGTCGCCCCCCACATACCAGCACGGCGAGTTCCAGCAGCCCCAGCCCGCGCCTCACTTTCCTCCTCGCTAACAGACCCCTGGATGCTCCCGCTTCTCCCCCACCTGATGAGAACTGTTAATACTACTGATCAAGATCAGAAGGACAGTGGCCAGGCCCTAGGCTAAGCACTCTGCATGCATTCATTCCGATGCTAAGTTGTCCCGGGTCTGCAGGACACAGCTGAGGCTCCAGGAGGTTAAGCACCTTGCTCAATGTCACTCAGCTAACAGGGGGACGGGATGGAATTTGGACCCCGGTCTGTGTGAAGACACAGCTGTCAGGCTCGACTCTGTGCCGTTGTTGGCTTCCTCTGCTGTGTCATAGAATCCGTGTCTTCTTTCCTCTGGCCACAGCATTAGGGTGGGTCCTTGTCATCTCCATCCTGTATCACTGGAGAACTTCTCCCGGGTCTCCCTGTCACAGCCTCTGTCCTCCACCTCCACCCTGGTCGGCCCCTCAGCCAGACTCTCCTCCTCTGTCCGTCACTTCCTGCTCTGACGGTTCCCTCCGTAGGGGTACGTGAGGCCTCCTTTGCCATGCTTCTTGTTCTGCCCTCTGGAAGCCTGAACAGCCGGCCACGCCTCTGCCTCGTGGCCTCTCCTGGCTCTGCTCAGCTCCCCATCCCTCAGCCTGAGGACAGCTTTTGCTGATATTCTACCCACGTTCCTGCAGTGGTCAGATCTAGGTGGGAGCACTGGATGTGTGAGCAGGGCACTTTTCCCACTTCAGAGATAGGCAAGCTGAGGCCCACACAGGGGAAGGTACAAGCCCAAGGTCACACTTCTAGTAAGAGGGTGAAGCCCACAGTAAGTTCAGTCTTCTCACTCCCAGACTGAGGGTGTCCCAGATGTAAGGCAGGGTCTTCCTTCTCCATGGCCCAACGTCCCCAGTGCTGTAACTGTTCTGAAGAGGTCCTGCCATGAAGTCACCGACTTACATCTGCCTGGTGTCCAACCACAAACTCCTCCTGCCAGATCATACCTTCACTGGTGCTCAGCACACTCCCAGGCATACAGCAGGTACTCAATAAATATCTCCTGACTGTGAGGTTAAGCGATGGTTTCAAGATCAGGCCTGCCAGTTGGCTCACTCAGCCTTTCGCTAGGGTCGGGGTGGGCAGTGTCCAGATGTCCATCCAGTCCCTCGGAGCTCTGCTGGCAAGTGCAGGGGCCGGTGGCAGATGGCTCACCTGCTCTAATCAGACAATCCCCTTCATCTCACCCCCCGAGGCTGGCTGCCCTGCTCCACAGAGGCAGGATGAAAGGCACCCATCTCGCCATCAAAACGCACACTCCACTTGTCTCCTGGAAGGATCCTGCCTGGGTAGAGTGAGTCAGAAGTGGCCACCTGCTTAGGGACCCCAAGCTGGTCTGAAAGCTCTAGAAGGGCGCCACGTGGAGTTCAAAGACAGCATTGCCAGAGAAGGGGAGAACAGCAGCTGCTCTACGGGGACAAAGACAGCCCTTGGTGGGGCAGGGGTGGGGGCCACAGGGAAGAAAGAGAGGTGGAAGGAGAGGCGGGGAGAGAGAGACCTGGACAACCACATGTCTGACAGATTTCTCATCTTTTTCAGACCTAAAAAAAAATCCTCAAATCTTTTTCCAGAAAATGCAGCATTGGGTGAGTAAGGTCATGCTGTGGTTTATCAACCCTCGCTGGAATGTGTCATGTGGAAAAAGGCAGCAGGGAAAAGCTTATGCATCCGGGCGGGAGTAGGGTTTGAGCTCAGTCCCAGGGCAGGGGGGGTGATCGCCCCCCCCCTTGTGGTTCCGCTCAAGCCAACTGGCCGGACCAATACAGGGAATGGAGGTGGTTCTGTCCCGGTGGCAGGGGACCGGGACCGGGGTCCCGAGCAGCCCCCAGCTCTGGTGCAGCCCCATTCTGTGCTCGGGTCTACAGCGGCGATTTCTTTCCATGGCCATTTTAAATCACCACCGACCCACAGGCTGCCATGACGGGGCTTTATGGCGCCGACTGCGGCTGTCTGCCTGCCTCCTGGTTGATGAAAGCGGGCAGGAGGGCCGAGGCAGGCTGTACCTCCTGAGCTGGGAAGCACCCCATGGGACCCATCCTGCCTTTCCGTAATGGGACAGGAGCCCTGGCCCTGCGAAACAGATGTCCAGTGAGTGAGGGAACTCACAGGCCTCTCCTCCGAGAGCAGAGCAGCCTGCGAATGGCCGGCTTTGGAGGTGGGGGCGGCCCTGGGCTGACAAGGGGACGTCAGTGACAGGCTGGCAGCCCGAGCAACAGCTTCTCGGCACAGGAGCTCTGAGGCAGCCGCTGGGAGATGGCAGCCTCTCTGCCTGGCTCATAAATGCTCAGCAGCGCCCAGCACCGGCGCGGGGGTGCCCTCTCCTCCCCTCCCCCCTACTAGTGCCCGCAGTCACCACTCAGGAGAGATGCCCCGCCCACCTGTGGGGAGGAGAGAACCCTCTCTGCCTGGTCTGCAGGGAAGCTCAAAGGTAAACGTCTGAGAGGAAGCAGGTAGCCCAGAATGCACCACGGCTGTGTGCTCCCCGAATGGGGTCTCCTCCCCTCTGTTGAACAGAGCCCCTCCCACCAAGGTCCCTCCATGGGCTGAACTGGGAGAACACCCGAGTCCTTATGTTACTGGAACTTCCTGCAGCATGTGACCCTGTGGGCTACTGGCCCTCAAACTTTTTGTTCCTTCGGCTTCTGGGGGCACAGTACCCAACCTCTCTGCCAACTGCCTCTCCCCTTCTCCAGTCCCTGATTGCTCACGTTCCCAGGAGGCACACCTTGCATCTTCCTCACTCTAGCCTCACCTCCAGCCCTGGACGTCTGGTCTCCACCCAGACATTCCCACAGGGCATCCCATGGGCACTCCGCATGCCTCATCCTGCTCCTTGGGGGGGGGGGCACCAGGTGTCAGGAGAGGCCTCATGCCTCTCCCTCATGCCCCCCATGCATGCATCACCAAGTCCAACCAGCTGTGTCTTCCCGGATCTGATCTCTCCTCATCCCCAACACCTGCTGCCCTTGTTCAGGGGTACTCCTGCACTCATGCTCTCCCTCTAAATCCAGCCTCTACACTGCTACCCCAGTCCCCAGACTGACAGGTCATTCCCCTTGGGAAATCTACAGTGGCTCCCGGTGTCCTCAGGAGAGTGGCCATGGACCCCAGGCACTGCCTGACCTCCCTCCTCAACCCCTCAACCCCCACCACCTCCACCAGACTTGACCACGGACTTGTCCCCCAGCATACCCTGTGGGCTTCCCACCATTGTTCCTTCTCTCCCCTACTCCTGGAATGGCCTTCCTGCACCCTGCCATGATCTGCTCTCATTCACAGGCTCCCCACCCCACCCAGGACTGGGCTGTGGCCCTTTGTCATGTGCTGCTTCCTGAGAGGGGCTGTGGAGATCATCTGGGTTAGCCCCCCAGTGAACCATGAGGTCTTTGGGAACAAGGACTGTGTCTTGGCCATCTCTGGGTCCCCAACACTTGGCCCAGAGTGGGCATTCGATGAGCATTGTCTGAACTGACCTGCCCCCGTGCTCATCTATTCACCACCCCTAGAGATTTTGAAAGCACCTCTGGCTTTATTTCACATTGCCTTATTGCATGGGTGTGTTTAATTTAACCCACTTCCTCCCGCTGTGCAAGAAGAGCTTCAACAACAGGGAAAGCGGACTTTTGACAGGATACTGGCAAATGGGCGGTAGTGTTTAGGAAAGGTGCCTTCGGAACGGCTGGTGCACTAGCCCTACTACCCCAGAGGGCCCCCTACCTTTCTCAGGGTCCTCCAGGCTCGAGCGGACGGTCTCCACCACTTTCTCCACCTCCTCACTTTTGCAGACATTGAGCTGGACAGTTCTCAATCGATCACTCTTCAAGCTGTCCAGCTCCTTGACTCCAGCGTCTCCTTTGTCCTGGGGAGGAGAGAGTTGCTGCTTCAACCACCTCCTTCCCACCCTGCCTCCAGTCGGAGGACCAGGGCCAAGGCCTTGCCAAAGCCTGGGGCTTACTAACAACTAACAACTGCAGGACGGGGTCTCTGGAGACCTACTGGGGCTGCTCAAGCAGCAGGTGGTTCTATTCAACCCCAGGACTGATGACAGATCAAGTCAACCCAAGTGCCACAGACACAAGCCCCCAAGGCCTCATTGGTGGGAGGCTTTCTCTAAGCAAAGGTTGCGAAGTCAGTACCTATCAGGGCTAGGCATGCAGGTGTCTGACAACGGGGGGCGGGGGGGCGGGCTGGGAATGAAGCATGTGGCTTCCTCTCCCGCCCTGCTAGCTGCCGCCCGCGTGGCTATGGGTGTAACCCAGGCTCGCCAGATGCTCAGATGTTTAAGCTAGTAATTAGGATTTCCCAATTTTTTAAGTGTTGGCAACTTACATTTAAAAAAGAAACACGGTGTAGGCCAAAGCGCATCCACAGGCCACATGTGACTAGGGGGCTGCCAGTTTGTCACCTCTGGTCTAAGCCACAGGCCTGTCACCACCAAGATGGTCAGAAGCCAGAGCAGGCTCTCATTCCAGTCCCGTCACTACCCAGGCTTTGTGCCCTCAGGTGCAACCCTTAACAGGTGCCCAGTTTTTCCAGCTTAGAAATAAGTACATCACCACCTGTCCTGACCTGCTCAGGTTAATGGAACGACAGAGTCATCTTTATTAAAAACCTGTTAAACTATACAGTGCTATGTAAATCCAGGTATTATTAAACATGAGAAAGGGTCACTCACTCAGTAAGCATTTCTTGGGCCTCCATTCTGCTCCAGCACTGCGCTAAGAACTTGGAGACACAAAAATAAATAACTCATCCCCTGTTCTTAAGGAGGCACGTTTTCGGGAAGGGAGAGGATGCATAAGCAAACAATATGGGCGGCATTTGCCGCATGAAAGCTTGCAGGAGGGGAGACGGCCAGGGCAGGCCTTTCAGGAGCAGTGACAGCCAAGGCCATGGACCAGAGGGGCCCTGGGGATGGGACATTTCAGGCAGAGGTAAGGCCTCTGCAGGCAGAGCAGGGGCATAAGGAAGCGGTTGCACAGGAGGCTGGGGAGGTGGGTGGGGGTCTTCTTGGGGTGCAGTGGTGAGCTGCTGGAGGGCGTGAATAAAAACCAGCATCATTTACTGAGTGTTGACAGTGCTTCCCACTGTGCTAAGCACTTGATATGCATTTCTCATTAGTCTGCACACCGTGAGGCAGGTTCTATTACCATATTTCATCCATTCTACGACCCATATCTTTTCCACCTTAGGGATGAGCTACAATGGATGTGAAAATCAAACACCATCAGTTATAATGTAATTGGAAGTGACTTTCTCAGTGGTGCAGGAAACAGGAAGGCATCTAGCAGGAGGACGGCAGGGGCTGCCAGGGGCTGAAGTGAGAGGGAAATGCCTACTCTCAGCCAAGGGCGTGCCTGGGATACAGGTGGTACTGAAGCTAACCTCCCCAGCAAGGCCAAGAGTAGGAAGCACAAGGATGTCCGCATATGTCCACAGTGAAAAGTTCTCTGCGAATTAGGCTGAGCCTGGTTTAAGTGGTCTGAACCAGGAGGACCCCAGGGTGAGATGTTTGCATCACGCCATGTCAGAGAGACACAGGAGAGAATGGTGACGGGACTGTGTCAACTGGGGCCCGAGGTGCTGGAGATAATCACTCTGGAGAGAGACCTGGGGAGAACATGAAAGCAAGGGAGCTGACTGGTCCCATGCCGCCCACAAAACAGAAGCAGGGGCAAGAAGTCAAATTCAGCCCAAGATGAGGAGTGACTTTCATTGTCCAGAGATGGCGAGACTGCCCGGGAGGAGTTCAGACGGTGAGGGTGGAGGTCGGGGTTGGGGCAGGGTGCGGGACATGGTGCGGTGAAAACCCAAGCATCAGACAGGAGGTCAGGCCGATCCCTAGCCCCCCAAGATCTCTTCCACTCCTAAACAGTCATCCTCTACAGGGAGCCTCCGCAGTGGTCCTGAAGAGAAGCAACATGCGTGGCCCTCTGAGTCTCGGCCCCGCCTGACACCGGGCACGCCAGCTACACCCGGAGTCCCTCTGCACAGGGCTGCCAGGTGTGAGGCTCGGTTAGTCCAAGGCTTGGCTCTGAAATCCCTGGAGGTGCCAACCTTCCCGGACAACAAGGCAGGTGTTCTCTGTACAGGCCTAGAGCTCCTGCTGCAGTTCCCCGAGAGGGTCCACCAGCAAAGAAGTCCCGGGGACAAGAGCTTCCAGTCCAGAGGAGGGAAGGGCTGCTGCCCACAAACACCAAGAAATCACGTATCTTGTTTGAATGCAGTCTTCATGTCGTGCCCCCTCAAGTGCCCCCCAGAGCAGAGCCCAGGTGGTCTGGGTCCCTGAGCGGGTGCTGTTGCCTACTTCCAAGAGGACAGGCACCTGAGCAACCTGTCCTCTTCGTGGCCTTTGTGAACCCTGCCACCACCTTTCAGCAACTCTCGGACTCCCCACCAGACCTCTCCTTGAGCCTCTAGCCAGCATGGAGCCCATGCCCCTGGAGTCCCCAGGGGAGGCTCTTCACCCAGCTCAGGGGGCCCACGTGAATTCAGTTTGGCACTGTGGCAGCTAAGAACCCTTCCTCGGAGGAAACCGGGGGTTCGTCCCACGGCTCACAGCTTCAGGCTCAGCATTCAGGATCTCGGGAGAGAAACCCACCTCCTCCCTTCCCGACAGATCTCCCCAGGAGTCCTCATTACTCTGAGCGGGCTCCACATCCTGCTCCTGATGGCCACGTCAGCGGGGACAGAGACTGTCAGTTTGCCTTCACCTGTTCAGAGAAAACCTTTCCTGACAACCCTCAGCCCAGGGGCTGCAGAACACAGCAGCCGGTCCCCTTCCAGATCCACCTGTCCTCAGTCCAAGGCCACACCGCCTCCCAGGCTCCGGGGTTTCTGCCCTCGTCTTCATCTGTCTTGCTGCTCGGGGACAAGCTTTCAGTCCTGCTGTGTCGGTGCCTGTGGAACTGGTTTACTGATAAACCCACTTCTTTCATTATCCCTTTACATTTCATCTGTGAGCTCTCTTTTCTACCCCTGGATGAAATTTTAGGCACTTCTTATAGTGTTTCCACACAATCTCAGATGATAGAGAGCCTCTTTGTTTGACTTAAAGAGTCCAGTTCAGTCTACTAATCAACTGACTCAAGCCCAGCCTGGTTTGAAAACCCAAGCCCTCCACCTTGTATGCAATTTAAAGCCTGCCCTGACCCAGACCTAGGGGAGTGTGGGAAGCCCATGGGACACCAGATAGGGGTGAAGACTGCCTTTCTCCCTATCTTCTAGCTCCTTCTCACCTGTTCCTTAATCTCTGACCCTTCCAGGGTTGGGTTCAGGGGCTGGCAAATTAGGGGGTAACACTGTAGTCTTCTGAGGCTGGTCCTGTTGTCTGCTGTCAGTGACTTGGTATAGCAGGTGCACGAGAGCTGGCCCTCCCTTCTTGTGGTGCTTTCATGGGTTCTGCAGAGATCCCTCCACTGGACGCCTCCAGCTGAGCCTCTTCTCCCTCAGCCCGGGCTTCAGGGAGGCACCCCTCTGGCTGGGACCACATGGGTGTTCCTAGGAGTCTCCCTGGATGGGCACCCTTACAATGACTCCAGGAGCTCTCCCCCTCGTCCACATCAGGTCCAGGCAAGAGTGTCTGGCCCGGGCAGAAGGACAGCCCTTTCCTGGTGCAGCTGTCTCTGTTCTGCTTCCAGATGAGCCACTCCAGCCTCATTCTTGGGCCTCTAGACATCTTTCGGTAAATATTAACACACCATGGCCTCAGACTCCAGGGCATAAACTGTAAGCTCCCTAATAGTTGTTGTTTTTTTTTTTAAGTTTTTATTTTAATTCCAATTAGTTAACATCCAGTGTTAACTAACTCAACCTTCTCCACCTCCATTTCTTACCACACTGAGGCAGATGACGGACTGAACCTGGCAGCAAGGTTGCACAGACTCTCAGCCTGTCCTGCTAGGTGGTCCAGCACCCCAAGGCAGGGTGAGGACACTCAGCATGTGAAATGGGAGCATCTCTCACACGCACAAGAAACAATGAAGAGGAATAAACCTGGGGTCTTGTAATAGTCACAGGATGAGCAGTGGAAGCAGCTAGCAAGGGAGGGGAAGAAAAACCAAGAGAGTGGGGTGTCCAAAAGTCACAAAACAAGGGATAACATGCAAGAGTGGTTTGTTTGTTAAAGTTGTGATAGGTTCAGTACGATGTGGTCTGAGAAGTGGCCAATCGGTCTGGCAACATGGGGGCTGCTGGCGTCCTCAGTAAAAGCCGTGTCAGAGGCACCCTGGGCCCCCCTGGTCTGGCCCTGCCTTCTTTTCTCAGCTGGTCTCCTCTTACTCCATGAGGGCTCTGGGCTTCAGCTTCCTCAGACCAAATATGCCATCACCACCCACCACCGGGAACTGCCATTTGTCCTTCCAGATGGCAATGAGATGCCACCTTGGCCTATCAAGCCTTCCCTTGCACCCAGAGAGAGGCACTCTGTCCCTTCTATGATGCAAGATCTGCCCCCAAACCCCATTCTCCCCCCTCCCGCCCTCACTGCAGCCGGAGAGGCCTCCTGCTGTTCTCTAACCCAAAGGCACACGCCCTGCCTGGGGCTCTGGCTTGACTGACTCTTCTTACCCCTTCTAATCTGCAAGACTTGCTCCCTAACCCCTCACCTCCTTCCAATGTCACTTTCTCGGGAAGGTCTTTCTTTCCTCTTTAAAACCCAACACCCCCTCTACCACATTCACTCTCCATCTCCTTTTCCTGCTTTATTTTTCTCCATAACTTCAACATCCCATAGGAAAGCAATCTACTTATTTATCTACCTCCTTGTTTGTCTCCCCGCTCCCCCATGTAAGCTCCACAAGGGCAAGAACCTTTCATTGAATTGGTATATGCTGTATCTCCAAAGCAGAATATTGTTGG